TCATATTAATTTGAACATATTTTAGTTTTTAGAATGTTTACTGAATGGAGCAAGCCAAGTCAAAATAATTAGGGCTGCAACTATAGACCGGCTAATCGTTTGGTCTTTAAAATATCAGATAACAGTGAAAGTTCTTTGAGTCTTCATCAGCGTTTCCGCCTGGGGGCCGTCTTGCCGTCATTTGACTTTCACTCGAGCTGAGGGCGTCCAAAAATATTAATAATTCGAGAGAAGATCGAGTTTTTATCACTTGAAATTATGAAAAGGAAAAAGGACAAGGACATCCCTCTGTTGGAGGGGCAAAGGAGTCTGGTGGGATTCTTTTCGGAGTATTGAAGATCGTTTCCCCGACATCGAAGGTGCTTGCTACAGGACAATACGGAACGTGCACGATTTAGACGCGATGAGCGGGGGGGGTTTAGTGGAGCACGTGCGTGAACTGCGAGCACCAGAGCCTCGCAGCAGCGAAACTGAGGCTCCGTGGTAAACTATGGTAACATGAAGAGCCGTTTGGGAGCCGAAACAGCCAAATGACCCGGCTCACGTTAGTGATCTCGGGGTGGACGCCCTCTCAACCCTGGTCTGGCGGAAACACTGATCTCGCCCTGTCAATAAGCCTCAACTTCTTGGCAAAAACTGTATTGTTTTTGAAGTGGTGGAGAGACAATGCACAGTTAGACCCACTGCTGTCACCCATGGCCAAAGCATATCTCTCTGTTCCAGCAACCATGCGCTCCAAGCAAGAGGTTTCTTCCACTGCAGCGGGATATTGTAAGATGCCCAAACATCCAGTTCTACCTGGAAAATGTGTGGACATGGCTCATATCCTCCTATCATCCGTATAACCTGATGATTCTGAGTGAGTGAGTGAGTTAGAGTTGGAGTTTACTTGAAAAACTAAATGTGAAACTTGATTTATTTCTATTGCGCAGGTCTGATTTATTATATTGTTGCACTTTATAAATACTACTATCTCCGTACTATATGTGCTGTTGTACAAATCAGGATTCTATATTCATGTTAATAAAGAGAAAAAAAAATATCAAGTAATAAAGCTTTATAAGTAAATGTCTCCCTCTATATTTTCCATATCCGATAATATACGCGTAGCCGTGGGACTTTTTATCGCGATATTACTCGTAACGCCTTGAGTTTGTTGGTGTGTCGTTATTCTACTGCCCTGAATCGAATACTTGTACTGAAATGCTGGGCTGACATGACAGCTGACCCGAGTCCCTGAAGACCTGGAGAGATCTGTGGATGCGTTCAGTAATTTGCAGCGAGGTCGAAATGTGTTTTGGGCCAAAAGCCATTCAAAGCTTTATAAACCCAGCAGCGAGTATTTGAATCTTTTCTTTGGACACACAGGAATCCAGTGTAAAGACTTTCAGAAAACTGGAGTGAGGTGATCCACTTTCTTTAGTTTTAGTGAGGAACCAGAGTAAAGACTTCAGAACAGGAGTGAGGTGATCCACTTTCTTAGTTTAGTGAGGAACCAGAGTAAAACTTCAGAACAGGTGTGTGATTGCTCGCTTTCTTAGTGTTAGTGAGAAACCAGGAGTAAAGACTCATGAACAGGAAACTGATCCACTTTTCTTAGTGTCAGCTGAGGAACCAGAGTAAAGGGACTTCAGAACAGGAGTGATGTGATCCACTTTCTTAGTGTCAGTGAGGAACCAGAGTAAAGACTTCAGAACAGGATGTGATCCACTTTTAGTGATCCAGTAAGGACTCGAGTCGCAGCGTTCTGAATCAGCTGCAGTCTTTCTAATAGATGTGTGTTAGTGAGACCTGTGTAAGCTACTACCATGTGCAGTAGTCCAGTCTACTGAAGGATGAGATGCATGGACAAGTTTTTCAATCCTGGCGTGTGGACATCAGTCTTTTAACCCTGATATTTCTTTAGGGTGATAGTAAGCTGATTTAGTACTGTTTTAATGCGCACTTGTTGAACTCAGTGTCAGGTATGTTCTATATACCCTAGATTTTGGCTCTGTTGTNAAAATATTAATAATTCGAGAGAAGATCGAGTTTTTATCACTTGAAATTATGAAAAGGAAAAAGGACAAGGACATCCCTCTGTTGGAGGGGCAAAGGAGTCTGGTGGGATTCTTTTCGGAGTATTGAAGATCGTTTCCCCGACATCGAAGGTGCTACAGGACAACACGGAACGTGCGCGATTTGGACGGGATGAGCGGAGGGGTTTTAGTGGAGCACGCGCGTGAGCTGTGAGCGCCGGAGCCTCGCAGCAGCGATACTGAGGCTCCGTGGTAAACTATGGTAACATGAAAAGCCGTTTGGGGCCGAAACAGCCGGCGCTTTAAGAGAGCCGAGCCAAATGATCCGGCTCACTAACGTAAAAAGACAGTATCTATAAGGGACGGCTCAAGTCAAAATTCAAAACAACCCCGCTCTCGGGGTGGACGCCCTCTCAGCCCTGGACTGGCGGAAACACTGGTCTTCATCTCATCATCACTATAAATTCACAATAAAGACAGAAAGAAGCAGAAGATCTCATAATTCAGGAGCAAAGCCTCATGTTTTGATCTCTATGTAAACAAGTGAATAGTCCTGCTCAGAAAGAGCTCTAGCCATTTCAACACTATTGCAGAACCTTTTCAGTCGTACATTATGTTCATCAAAGAAAGGATCCGACTACTAAACTTGATATGTGTTGAGTGAGCTCTTGCAAAAGGGTGAATGGTTGCAACATGTGCTCTTTGTAGAATACATCTCAAGGTAAAATATATTTCTCCACCACATCAGATATGAAAATGTACCAATCCTCTCAAAGTTGCAAGACAATAAATCTTTGTATGCACCAACATTAATTCAACTTTCCAGAACAACAACAACAACAACTAGGATTGCATTCTGTATTTTGGGTAATTATATGCTATAAAAGATTGACTGAATATTCACACCCCTCCTTAAAAAGGAAATATTTCACAAGATATGATAGAGCAGATGTGTAAAAGCCTATGAATAGCCATGTATGCTAGAATAGAAAAGTCTGCAGCTGTTTTTCATGGTATATATGCAAAATGATCATCACCATACAACTGATGTCTTCATTACTGTAAATACCAACACACACCCACCTGCACCTATGGGCTGTAAAAACACACACAGATCCTCACACTCAAACAGTGGATTCTGAGGGGAGAAGACGTGTCCACACATTTACAATTAAGCCTCATCGATCAATATAAAACATACCAAGCTGGATTTTTCCAATGTAACAATATCAATAAGATTCATGTTTTGACCCAATATAAAATATTCAAATAACTTCAAATTCACTTTCAGTTAAGACAAGTGAGAAAAATATGTAATGTTTTCTTGTACATGTTTTCTTTAAATGTCCAGTATAACTCTAGGAGTGGGCAGATCTATCAACATCAATACTAGGCTACATCAGCTTGAGTAGGCAATATCACAAGGGTCTATAATCATTTTCATAACACAGTCACATTGAAACATAATAAAATGAGTATGTTTCTTTTAATCTAACCTAACTAGGCATTTCTGAGTTTGACTTTGTATGTACTAAGCCTATTCTATAAATGTATATCTTTATATCAACACTACTGGAAAATCGGATTTTAACTTCTTACAACTCAAAAGAATATAGCAAATGTAAATGTCTTATACCACCTGGACAAGTGTAGAATACATTATGGACCATCTGTAGGTTTTTAAAAGCTCTACAAATGCATAAACAATCAAAGATAAAACAGTAAGGCTCCAACATATTGTTAACAAACACATGGTAACTGTGAGTGTTTGCTTTGTCCTTAAAATTGGGGGAAATACTCCCAACTATAAAAAAATAGCCAATAAGCAACCCAAGAGTCTTATAATATTAAAGAGAAACCAAAATCCAAGGGTGGTTTTCTAACATCTTCAGACGTAGAAATAACTATTTTAATAAACATGGCTCTTTCAGGTGTTCCTTAAAGTGTGGCAGTATATCTTCCATAAAAGCATTTATATTAGCCAATGTTGGTATGAATATATTAGATATTGGCTACGAAATACTCCATCTCTGTCAAATTGAAAATATTCGTGAAAACTGGCTTATAAAACAACAAAAGACATGCATTACTTGATTCACTCATTGTAGACTTCCCATGACAATGTTAAGTATTTACAAACTTCCCAAACAAAAAAGTAACTGATGTGAAAAGAGATTTAACAACCAGGTTTGCCAAATGTGTGTTTTCTCTCCTTTATACATGAGAGAGAAAGAGATGGCCAGAAACCAACATGTATTTACCAGCAGTGGGGTCCTGATCATGCAGCGTCTTATCAAAAACGTGTCTTTTCTCCTGTTCTTATTAACCTCACATCTCTAGGCCTAGAAGTGGCACAGACCAGGTATTTTCCAGGTAGTCGAGGAGTGTGTGAGCCCAGTGTCATGTTCAAAATCACTACCCTTCCCTCAAGAGGGCCGATCTGCTCGCTTTTATCACGAAATGTAGCAGCTTTAGCTAAATTACGACTGTGTAACCATCTATTAAAAAACAATAAAGGTTTACACCGACTGCTTCTCTAAATGTTTGTTGAGATTATCCAACGCTGAGCTGCGAATGGACACAAACACTGCTACGCAATACTGCTAACTATCATTAGCTTCTCAGGCTCGATTAGCCAGTTAGCTTGTAGGTGACGTTAGCTTGGCTGCCTGGTGCTGCTTTAAATTAAAATACAATCTCTATTTTGACCACATTTTTGATTCGTTTAGATACATGTGTAGTGTTGGGGCTTTAGTTAAGATACATTCGGCCTTTACCGAGCAAACCGCAGTAGTCAGGAAAGACCATCTGCCTGTGTTGTTGGTGTAAAATGGCAGCCTAGCTTCACGGGCTGCTCAATAATGAGTCAGGAAAACAGTTCGCTAACAGTTAGCATTAGCCAGCTAGCTCCTGGCTAAATTGATTGTCATCAAAAAAATAGCGCCACCGGCTTACGTTCACAACCCTGAAGAGGCTTCTTACCATTTTAAGGCAGTCGCTGTCACTGTATTGTCGTTGTAGGTGTTGTTTTTCGGGGATAAAAGCTGTCTCCTCCGCCGTCTCTGTATGTGTTTGCTGCCAGTTGCTATCTGCGACCGCTCTGCTTCGTTCGCACAAAGATCAGCTCAGCAGCCACCGAATCATGCTGCCTTCAGGCACAGTCGGAAACATGGCTGTTACACTAATGAAAATGTTTTACAGATCCGTGGAATAAGTATTCTGTATAAAAAACACAGTGTAGCAAAATACTGTGTGTGTGTAAATCCTGCATAAATAATATACAGTAAAAGCACACAAGTACTAGCATCATCTTAAAATCTCAAAAGTAAAAGTACTCATTCTGCAGAATTAACTCTATTTGCTAAATAATCATACTAATACAAAAATGAAAAGCAGCAATAACCAACAATACAAAATATATATATATATATATATATATATTCATACAAGTAAAGTGTAAAACCACAAAAATAGTGCAAATGACCAAGTTATGAACAAGTACATGTCTACAATGTAGAATGGTAGTATATAATGGGAGCAGTGGTTTTTTAAAATAATCCTCTGTTTCAAGCTTCATTACAGCTTTAAATAATTTTGACATAAAAATATGCAATAATTATTCAATTAATGGAAGTACTTCATGGTAAACGTATATGTTGTATCACAATTAAACAAATATGATATTAAAACTAACAAATAGAAAATGCCTTGTGTTTTATGTTTTATAGAGTAAGATTATTTCTCTTTTAAATGTAGAAGACCTAAATATAAAGCTAGTTTTGAATGTTGCTGTGTCGCTATTATTAAAAAAAAGGAATCAACGCTTTTACCCCTCATGGGAAAACATGTATGCTTAATATACAGTAGTGTAGATGTTCTTTATAATATATTTCCTTTTCTTGGAAAACGTTTTATTTTCCGTTTAATCTTTCTTGAATTAAGGCAGTTTTTTCTACTGATTTTTTTTAAAATTTCATTTGGGTTTGTTATAATGCACCACAATACCAGGACAAATCGTGGGATGTGAAAACTTTCTTGTCAATAACCCAAATCCAGATTTAGCTTTGATTCACAAACAAATAAAATATATAATTGTATGTGTATGAATACAAATAAAGATATTAATCCGAACCTGATATGTTTTAATAATCCTAAATAAGTGTCACAAATGTGTACTTTTAATTAGGCGTATGTCTTTCCCTGAAGATCCCAAAAAAATGTGTATAATATACACAACAAATAATTGGATAATACTTTCAGCTGCGTTTAAAATGTGCTTTAAAAAAAACATTTTATGGCTTCAGGTTAATAATTATAAATATTTAGTTGCCAATAACTTATCAAATAAAAATTGTTTGCAACGGGATCAACTGTTATAATATACATACTTGCGTTCATATTTTCATAAGACGCTCGAGATAAAAAGTTGGAGTTTATAAGTGCTCCCTGAACGCAGCACAAGCGTCACAGAATGGCGTCTGTATTGGACTACAATCATTGGCTGCACAAAACAATTACAGCTGCTTCAACTACAAATATTGCAATATCTCCTGCGCATGCTCACTGAATGTTTCGGTCACCTAATATGACATTTTAATTATGTATGCATGAGACAAACGCACGATGGTGACATTCAGCTCCATGTTTTTTTATCTGTGCATGAGTATGTGTTATGCAAACTTTGCAAATGTAACATCATCCCAATAAAAACAAAGACATTTTGTGACCTTATCTAATTGCTATGACATGTTGAAGCCTATTGTCATTATAGTATGGATAATCCCTGTAGAATAGCTTAATCATTTAGGGAACAATATGTTACTAAAAAACTAAAGTCAGTTATATTTTTTATAAAATATTCAGTATTATACTGTAATGTGTAAACCATGTGCACCCTCACTGCCTCTGAAACATGAAGCAAACACCCTCTGCTGGTTAATAAAAGGATGACACGCACGTACGTATATATCTGGTATATACTGTATACACACAAACACACACACACACACGCACGCACACAGTTGATAAATACCAATAGCTATGCTTATTTAAGTACTAAGTTTGTGGAATGGTTCATTTCAGAACAATTCATTTACTATATAATTAAATACAATAACTACTTTATGATTAATAACAAACAAATGTGTATGGCCATGCTGTGAACAATGCAAAATAAGATATAGTCATGGGGTAAATTGAGACAATAAAAGTGTGAATTTATGCTTCTTTTAAAACTATTACATCTGTATGATTCGTATACAACATACCTTTAATATACAAAATACACAACACATGACATACTAAACAACTGTATACAAAATATGTAGTACAATGCATGTACAAAAAACTGGTGATGTTATTCTATACTTTTGTAATTAACATTTATATTTCAATGTTTAATTTGTATCTGTTGTATCCAACACCTTAAGTTTGCTCCATCAGCTGCTTCATCATCTGTAAAAACAACAAAGCAAATACTCGTTATTAACTATCTAGGCTTATTAGTGTGAACTAAATTACACTAATATCACTACTGCTACATAATGTAAGTAACTGAATACATTTACTTACTTTATTCTTCTACTCTACTACATTTCAGAGGGGGATATGAATACATTACTGCATTATAGTTACTCCACAGATTCAGATTATTCTTACAAAATATTATCAACAAACTATATATGATATATTACTGCAGATGAAGGTACCAACAAATATTCTTATGTACATAAATAAAAAACAGATTAATGAGTACATTTGATGTGTTTAAAGTTTGCTAACCTTGTTTTAAAAGCATGAAAAAAGCAAGAAAATACCCTTGATTCTAGATTCACTAGGTTAAAGATGTAATCATTAAATAACTTATGTGAATCTTTCTTGTATTTTTAAGTCATTGTAGCATTGTTTAAAAATGTATGTTAATAATGAGTATTTTAGAGTGTTATTAAAACATAATACCAAAACAAATAAAATAATGTAAATAGTTATAGAATATCTGACCGGCTTCTGCTTCCTCTTGGCTTGCATCATTTCCTGCTGCTGCTTCAAGCGTACTTCCTCCAGACTCATACAGCCACCTGAACACATGAATGCATCAAAGATCATAATATTTTAAAATGTATGATTCTTAGTTGGGACTTTTGAACTTTTACTTTTGTTTTACTTGAATCTGCATAATGAGTATACTATAACTATTCGTACATTTTGCTGATCTGTACTTCTACTTAAGAACACTTAAATGCAGGACTTATTTACTTTATATGCTGTCTTTTTCAGATCATGGTATTGCTACTTCTTCCACCCTCCACACACATGTACATTAATATTAAAGTCTAAAAATAAACATATGAATCCTATTAATTATAAGATGTATCAGTTTCTCTCACCCACAGTGCTGGGGCTGATGGAGACAAACGCCATTGCTCTGCTCAGCCTCAGCTCCTCCAAAGCGGCGAGCTCCGCCTCTGCCTCTGATCAACCAATCACAGCACACGTTAATATTTACCTGACAATAAAACAGAGTTTGTAAATCTGATTTAACGCCTAAACATAAAGACTCACTTCTCTGGATCTCTCTTCTCTTATTGGGGTTCGGGGGGATGACCGTGAAAGCTTTGTTACTGAAACTGAAACAGATCAGAAAGAAAAATAATACTTATGCCTAGATTTACTGACCTTTCTCTTTTTTCTTTGTTTCTAAATACTGAATTCTATAATGTGAAGCACATTTCTGAATCTATACTAAAATATAAAATAAAAACCTGGCTGTTGATGTAAGCAAGCTTTCAATCTAAGTAATTAGCATATCAAAATAGGTGGATATTTTTGAGATACATTATTTGGAAATAAGTCTTTAATTAAGAAAACTCCTAATTGAAACTACAGTAGTTATGTTTAGATGTTTCTTGCATCACAAAGCTAAGTTCTAGCCCTTTTTTTTATTTAACTGGCAGTCACTCAGAATCACTGGAGGTCAGGACCCTCCAAAAGGTTGTTTCTTCTTTAAAAGAGTTTATAAAATAAGATTTGTATTAAATTATTCTTTCCTACAGTATATTCAAGAGCAGTTTACTCAATTTATCAATGAGCTGATTGAAAGATAATTACTTTGCATTCGTCAGTTAAAATATTTATGTTTTAATGCTAAAAAGTACACATTTTTATTTTTGCTCTCCTCCTATTTAACTATTTGAATTTAAATGTAAATGGTGCAATGAATAATTGAAGCAGTCCCCCATTATGTCAAGATTTCTTGAAGGAATGCTACCAATAAAAAAGAAATGCTTCTTTTTATTATGCATTCAAATTTCCAAAGCAGACATGTCACATGGTATTTTCCAGAGTTTTGGATCTGAATACGTCTTTTTCCTCTGCTCACCTGTTACTGACATGTTTGCTCTCGGCTCTGACCCCCTGCTGCTCCTTCAACTCCCGGCATTTTGGGTCAACAGAGCTGGCCCTCCTACAGTAATCCGGGTCAGTTCTGGGCCTCTTTGTTGCTGTTCTGGGGGCGGTGGAGCTGGATCTGCCCCTCCTCTCACAGCTCGGTTTGCGGGTAGGTCCCCTCACCACGGTGCCCCCCTCACCCTTTTCCCTCTGCGGGCACCTTTGGCAGCTCGACGCGCGGCTTTTACGCACGGAGGGCACTATTGGTTCACTTGTAGTTCCGTTAACCGTGCGTACTTTCCCCGCTTTGCCCTTCTCTGGTTTTTTACTCGTCGCCTCCACTTGTTTTGACTTGATCACTTTTGTAGATTGCATTTTCATGTCAAGGTAATACAACCGGCATCTTTAAAATATCCAACTCTTCGATTAAAGTCACAAAAACCTACATTTTAAACTCTCAGGTGTTCGGTTGCTATGGTTGTTGTTGCACCCTAGCAACTGAAGTGTGAAGTCAGGGAGATCATGGTAAGAGTTCTGGTGCAAACTTTCAAAATAAAAGAACGAACCATGTAGCAAATATGAAAAAGGATTTTTTTATGACAAAGAAATAAAAGTATAAATAGAGGATACGAGTTAGTGATGTATGGCAAATAGATATATTTTTCTGTACTTTTATATCCAAATATAATCTTTAAATCAGATAATCAAAGTCCTCATCAGAATCCGAATACTTCATTTATCCCATCCTCCAAAAAATTAAATAAAGATATTTATACAAACATTAAAGGTTACGGTAAAATGTCCAATAAAATATAAAATAAAATATAGTGTAAATATGTTTAAGATATCAAAAGTCCAGCGCGGATATCAAAACATTTGCTTTAGATGCATTACAAAGAGAAGAATGTGCATACGTGGTAAATAATTAATTCTAAAGTAAATATGGTCAACTTCATCCATGGTTCTGGCTTTTTTAATGTAGACATGCCACATAAACAGAGGCAGATAGTTAGAGCAATCATAACATTTTTAGTGCAGCCCTATTTTCTGTTACTTTTTAACTTTTAGCTGAAAACACTCCAGTTGCAAGTCTGCATTTTATTTTTGAAAGCCTTGGCGCCTGGTTTCTTGTGTGTTTCTGCCTGTGTGTGTAGATTGATGTAAATGCAGATTAAAGCGAGTGACGTCAGTATTAAATCAGTTTTTCTTGTCAGTGTCCTGTCTGTGGACATCAGTATAGCTGGCGCGCGACAGGTCACATGACCACATACTATCACATGACACAATGCAGAACGTATGACTACATATATATATATATATATATTTCTATTTTCTTTCTTTTTGTTTCAGTACAAACTGAATAAATTACCATTACATACAATTAATGAAAATTATAAAACCGTAATATTAGTTTTAATATATTTAACTTTATATGACACTGATTAGAAATTGGCACTAAACAAATAATGGTATCAATCATACATATAATTATTTATGTTTAAAGGTTGTCTTTTGTTTTGTGCAGTAGCCTAATGCATCATTGCATGATTAATATGTAATGTCCTTTTCCATTGCTTTTATTCTTTCTTTACACTAATTGTGCTGTAGTGAATCCAGCAAGTCTATACATTTAAGATAATTTGAGTTTATGAATGACATTGGTTCGTTCCCAATTCGTACAGCTCTACAGTTTACTGTAGAAACACACATTTGATTTGTGATTGAGTTATGCATGCTCCAAACAAACCTCCACACATTAGGCAATATATGGGACCGCAAAATAACTTAACAGTGTGTATACTGTATTTAGTTTGAGTATGCATTTTGTTTTGCGCAGTATTCTATTCGATTATTGCATGATTTATATATTGTTTCCCCTTCCAGTGCATGCGAAAGTAGGCTATAGACTATATCCTGCAGCAGGATGTTTCTGAGGCTCTGGTCCTCCTGAGCTCTGAGTGGTGCTGTCTCGCCGCTGCCTCCTTGTGAAATCTGCCTTGCATTGCATTTCTCCAGCAGCGGACTAAGCAGGCCCCTCGCAGCCGCTACACGGTGGCACCAGGCCGGGCTCATTCCCACCACAGACCCGGCAGGTGTGACTGTGGTGGTTTACCGGAGAACGGCGTGCTCCACAACCGCCTCTTGATGCTAGATTTACGGACTGCTCCGCGGGAGAAGCCGATGCAATCCTAGTCAAAGTGCGACACACACACACACACACACACACACACACACACACACACACAAGCCCATGCACATGATAAACGGGCCTCGATTGCAGTGCAACTTGGCGTTTTCTGCCTCTCTGCAGGGGCTCGGGGTGGATAATCAGAGGTGAGGTTGGGGGAGTATTGTCTGGCGGAGGGTGACGCGCACTTTGCTGTCAGACGAGGAAGTGAGGCAGCTCACACACGCCCATTCCCAGCCTGTCGTCCCTTGCTAAAGCAAAGAGCTTCCCATCAGATAACAGCAACAGACTTTATAAACATGCGGGCACTTTCGGGGGGACAGCACCGGGAATAAGCTGCAGGACGAAGCCGATTTTCAGCGGTAGGTGACCGAGGCGCTTTACGCATGAGAATTTCCCCAAATGTTTTTATCGTGAGACTTCTCCACTGTGAAGGCCTGTCTCCATCTTTATTTTTGTGATAGTCACATGTATGCTCTCTGGCCTATCTGTCACCTTGAACTGTGACTCTCCGTGTGTTTTCAACGGGATAAAGTGACTCTGCAGGCCGCGGGAGTGAGCAGGCTGCGGGCCAGATGTCTGCATCTGCCCGCTGAGAGGCACCTGCCTGCGGGATGCTGTTAGCCGAGATCAGGCTGCATTCTGAGCTCACATTTACTTCAGAAGCCCCCTTTTGATTCAACTTCGCACCCCCTTTCACTTGTAGTCATCCTGATTGTACACTGTAGTGACAGTAGGGGGATCCTCATTCTGCAGGGGGGCCTCCTGAAGCCTCACTGGGACCCCTGGGTACCAAAACTCCCGTGTCTGTAATTTACAACTCGTTTTCTTCCAGTTTGGTTGTTGTTGTTAGTTTTTATAAAGGGAAATATAAACTTGCTAATATTAGTATTGTTGAGCCTACATTTATATTATGATGTTGTTATTATTATAAATGGTATTGTAATTATATTAATATATATGATGATATAATTATGATAACAATTTCTTTTTTTATTAGTTATGAAAGACAATTCAATTTTAAAAGGTTTTTATACGTGTTGTACATATTGACCTCCTTTTTTCTTTTTATTAAATGACTTATTGTTTCTGCTTTTGGATTGTATTGTTTTTGTTTGTAATTATCTATATAACTATTATATTATACATGGTATACTACTATAGAATATATACAAATTATAAAGTATAACTATATTAATCTAAAGCTGAAGCAGTTAGCTGATTAATTAATTAGAAAATGGATAGAAATAATTTGGCCATTACTTTTGCATATAGAGAAATATTAATGTGTGTGTGTGTGTGTGTGTGTGTGTGTGTGTGTGTATTGCAGAGTGTTGAATGATGGACAGGGAGCTGGTTCGTGGGAGCCAATCTGAACACGGAGAGTCCACCAATGGGACCACGCCAGACACCTCCACCCCTACGACCCCCACCCCCCCTCGNTCTTCTGCTTTGGGTTTACTGGCAGGCCGCAAACAACTTCACTGCGTATACTGCCACCGAAAGTCCCCGGCCGGAAGTTACTTCCGAGTAAATCGCCAGAACACCGATACCTCCTCATCTCCACCGCTCCCATGATTTTTTTGTGTTGCCATAAGTTAGTCTCTCCGTTGGTGCGCGGGGATAATGCTAATGCTAATAATGCTAATGCCAGCAAATACAATGGCGGCTTCAAAAAACGTTTCAGGGGCGTGGTTTGCAATTTGCCCAGCCAATAGAAATTGGTACTTTTTTGGTAGCAGGCACTAAAAATGGAGGTAAAAGTTCCCGGCACTAAGTACTCTTTTTGGTGTGAACGCGACATAAGGGGTACTCACGGAACCAAACGGGAAAAGTACGGGGAAAAGTACTCCGGCGTGAACGCGCCTAATAAGTTGAGCCTAATATTTTTTAATTTAAACTTAATATTATTGCTTTCAACTAACCTAATACGGTTCAGTTTTTTCAGTGAGCTCTTCTGAATACTCCACTGTACTTTATTGTAATAAAGTACAGTGGCAATTTATCCAATCTCTTTTGTTCAGCCAGAGGAACCTGTCTTGCCACAATGGAGTACGATGCTGGGGGCCCAGATGAGCTGAGCATGGCCCCTGGTGATCGCATCATCATCGTGGGACTTCTGGTGTCTTGTTTTGAGTGGTTCACAGGGAGGAAGGAGGCCACAGGAGAAGTGGGTCTGGTGAAGACAAGCCTGGTGGAACCCTCCACTGACATTACCCAGTGAGTTTACCAATATCACAGAGTTAGCTGTTGTTAAATTGATTTGCAATAGAGTATAATATCTTGTTCTTACGTGGTCACCTTTCCAGGTCAGAAGATATTTTTTTGGATGGAGAGGAAAGAACACTCTTCAGTGTGCAAGAGGACAAAGTCATAGAGGAAACAACTGCGTTACTGCAGAAGAAATCCCAAAATGATACCGGTCAGAAATACAAACTTGGTGAGACAAAAGCGCTGCAAACTCAGAGGTCAAAAACCCAACAAGTATTCCAAGCAAAGTAATAATGTTGTCATTGCCTATAGAAAAACAAACACCACTTAGCCAGAAGGCTTTCATCATGTAAATGACATACATGTTTGTGTCAAATGTCATGGCAATCAGTCAGAAAGTGGTTGATAAGGTTCATTGAAAAATGTTGGTAATACTGAACAAAATCTTAAGGAATTGTCAAATATCAATAGGATTCAATCAGACTCATACCATGTCCAGATAGACAGTTGTTGAGGTTTCACTGGGTTTCCTCATTCTCTTTTTTTACTTTGTTTTGTTCAATCCCAGGTACGATGAGTTGCCAAGACGCTGAGAAAAAAAAATCACGTAAGTATTGACATCTACAGTAAATGTCATGTTAATATATCTACAGTAAAAGTCTTGTCCACTCTGTATTACATATTCTCTATTTCTGATTTTCATTTTGCAGTCGGCACTTCAAGCAAAGTTGACGCTCAGACTGACCTTAAGAGAAATATTCAGAGGATACTTGATCAGGGAAAACACTCATCACCAGGTCCCGTAGTGACCGTTAACGGGACTCTAAAGGAACTGCACCTTGCAACAGAATCAAAGAACCCCATCCCTCCGTGCTTCACGGTCCACCCGGTGGTCGAAGGAAACACCAATACCGAGAACTTCATCCCCCTCCTCTCTTTACTGGAGGGACGAGACTACAGAGCAGAGTTTGGCGTCCTGTATGGACTGGGTTCAGAACTCCTCGCGTCCTCCATCTTCACCGGCCACTCGGACGAGGATGAGTTGATTGCCTTCCTGGGTGTTGCTAGGGAAACAGCCAGGAAGAAGCGACTCTATTGGCCGCATACTCGGTTGTGCTTTCTGTTGGGTAAGCTTTGTGCTGGGAGGTTGAAGTTCAGCCAGGCCCGGGTTTACTTGGAGGAAGCCCTCAGCGTGCCACGAGAGGGCTTCACGGACCTCAGGTTGTTGGCCAGCATCTACTCAAGACTGGTTCCCATTTACCTCCTGCAGAAAAATACTGAGAGTTTCTTTGCTCTGGCCGAACGACTCGTTGCCTTGCTATTTGGAATCCCAGACTGCCTGGCATGTTTAGAAGACAACTCCGCTCTTAAATACATCCTCAAGAAAGCTGTTCTATCTCACAACCAAATGGCGGAGGCCCGGGCTTGTTACCAATTGGCGAAGCACCACTTGACTCATGCTGAAGGATTGCGAGTTGTTCCTTATCTTGAAAGACTACTTGTTCTTTCTGGTGAAGCTCAAAGGACTTGGGGGACCTCTCCCAGTCAGGACTACCTCACACTGGGAAGGATCTACAGCGAACTCCAGCTCCCCCACCTCAGTGTCAGTTCAGCCAGGAGAGCTTCTCTGCAGCCCTCTGCTACACTGACAGACTGTCTCAGCAGCATGGCACTAGCTATGGACAATGTCAACAAACTGTATGAGTTCACAGAACAGGAAGAGTCCATCCCACCTAAAGTGGCTCCATATTTACACCAAGCCCTTTCTTCTATCCAAGGAGAAGGAAATGATCGATACCATGTTCTGGGTCATCGGATTACTGTTTGTCTCAGCCAACTGTTTTGCAAGAACTCAATGGTTGGACACGCCATCTGCCGCATGCATACTCTGATCAACAACAACGGACCCTCACTCTGCATCTCCGTCCCAGAAAGAAACAGTGCCCTCATCTGGCTGGCATGGCTTCACATTGACAATCATCAGCCAGATGTTGCTTTGGATGTCCTGGATTTGGTCCTAGCTTCCATGCCAGAACACTGCACGACCCCTCAGGAAGGTCTGTGGAAGTCTTTATGTGTTCAAAATAACAGTCAGAGGGATTGAGAGGGGGCAAGTAAATGTTTCTAGTATCTTAGGAGCAACTTACAATTTTGAACTACAGTCAAATACATCATTGTAATTGTCATTGTTCACTGAAACCAGCAATCTAGCACCTTGCTAACAAACTAAGCTAGTCTTAAGATTGATGAACATTTTAATCATTGCTTTCTATGAATGATTGCCCTGGTATTCTAGCACTATCTCTGAGGCTAAAAGTCGATTGTGCTTCCTGATGTCCTTTTCCCTATTTAGTCCACAGAAAGGTATTGGATCCTTAGAAAAGTTATTACTTAACAGTGATTTAGATTTTGCAAAAGTACTTCCTGGTTAAACATCCAACCAAAGGAATCGTTTAACTCCAATATTTAAATGCTATCATGTGCTGCTCTTTACTCATGCACAAAGCAGTCACAGTATAGGTTTGAACTGAAGAAATGTGCAGACTTTTTAAAGATGTGTCTTCATTAAAAAACAATAATCAGTGTGATGGCAAGGCAAAAACCGATTTGAAAACAGGCTATTTCCAAACAGCTGAAGTAAATGTCTCTAATTTAACACACAGGTGTGGTCCTCAACATGCGTGGTGTTGCACTTCGATACATGGGTGACCTCCGGAGGGCAGCAGAGAGCTATCAGGCTGCTGTGGACATCTGCCAAGAGTATGAGGACATGCCAAACTGGGCTGTAGCTCAGGCTAACCTAGGTAAGATAGAATAAACTTCTTGACACATGAATGGACTCTGGTTCTGTGGGTGACTGTTGTTCTTCTTGAAGGGCTGTTGTGTCTGAAGGCTGGAGCTAAAGGACTAGCCCAGAGACACCTGACAGAGGCTGTGCAGCTCTTCTCTGAGCTGGAGGAAGGAGGGCATGAGGCTGACTTCATCACCGTGCTGCTGGAGCTGGGTCAGCACTATGTGAAGCAGCAGCAGCTGGACTTTGGGAAAGGATGCTACGAGTGGGCTCTTCTGCTAGCTATCAACGCTAACCTGCTAGACTGTAAGTATAGACACCAGATTCAAGACTTTATTGTCATGTGCACAGTAGCTACAGCGTAGATATTGCAATGGAAAACTTAAGTCACAGGCTCCTCCAACAGTGCAACATGAATATATATAGGACATAAAACAAATAAAACAGATAAAATAGTGCAAGAGAATGTTTAGAAATGTTTTTAGAAGAGTCTATAATACAAGTACATGGAATAAGATATATTAGATAAATAATTTGCAAGATACAAACAGATTAATGTTTATGAATGTTCTTTAAAAAGTTCACACAAACACGTTGTTTAGATTTTGCAGAGGTACTTGCTGGTTCAACATCCAACCAAGGTTTTATTATGATTTGTGTCTTCAGATGAATTGAACTGCAGTACAGTATGTAAATGCTATTACAGATGTAGCGATTCATTTCAGACAGTTTGAAACGCGAGGGCCGTGATTGGTACGTGATCTGCCCTCGCTCAAGGGAAAAACCTCAGCTTGACTTGAGCCGCATCCGTGATAGATACATGTAATTATACATGAAAGCCAACTGCAGGATCATTGATCCACCAGGGGCAGGCCACAGCTCAGGAAAAAAGCAGATACAGACGCGGGAGCACGCGGACGTAAGACGCATAGCACGGGAAACAGACTAACGGCAAATAAGGAGAGCTGGTAAAAAACAAAACCACCAGGAAACAAAAAGGAGAAAAAAAAACGGAACGGAGAAATGCAGGGCCGGCCGATTAACGCTAAACACATCCAC